TATATGTTTATGTATATGTATATTTGCATATGTGTATACGTGTATATGTGTATATGTATATAAGTATATGGATATGGATATGTATTACGTATATGTATATGTATATGTATATGTATATGTATATGTATATGTATATGTATATGTGTATGTATATGTATATGTATATGTTTATGTATGTATATGCGTGTATATATATACATGTATATACATATTTTAATGTATGTATATACGATTATATGTATATATGTATATACGTATATATGTATATATGTATGTATGTATATATGTATGTATGTATATATGCATAGCCCCCTGAATAATCAACAACTGATCTCTTGTTTCTCAGGGGGGCATGATATATGTATTTGCTTATATCCCTAAAACCCTAAAACCCCAAAACCCTAGAGTCGCAAGTAAAAGCGTCAGACATAAAACGGGTCGCAGGCGAGAGCGTCAGACGTAAAACGAGTCGTAGTCGAGAGCGGCAGGTTTAGCGGTCGCAGGCGAGAGCCTCAGTCTTATTGTCGCAAGATCCGGTCGCAGGCGTAGTGGTCGCAGTCTTAGCAAATCTCGAAATACCAGATGTACATAGTTTGATTTGTTTTCTTTATAAACAATACAAAAAAAAACAAGTACATATGATGTTTTCATCTCACTCAAGAGATTCATGAAGTCTCCCACAAGAAGTCGATGTTTCGATATCTGTCAAGACTCGAGTCTACTCTCATTCTCTCAAGTCTCAAGTTGAGACAGATCCACAAGAAGATATTAAAATATTTACATATATTCGAAGACGGGTCACTGGTGTCAGTAAAGTTCAGGACTTCAGTGTTCACTTTTGTGTGTATTTGTATTTTTTTAACTATAACAATTACAAAAAAAAGTATTTGTATTTTGGTTTTTGGTTTTTCTAAGTATTCAAGCAGTTAAAAAAAATGATTTCGGGTGCAACCGGTCCGTGACCGACTGACCTTCGTCATTCGTGACGGTGCAACTTGCAAGACCAATATTTACTCTGTCGACTCTAGTCTCTAAATACCTTCGAAATTTGCTTTGTATTTAGATGAGAATAGTTGCAAACTTGAGGTATTTAGAGACTAGAGTCGAGAGAGTAAATATATATGTTGTGAGTACATAGTCGCTTTGCCATTGTTGTGTTTTTTTTGTTTTCAGTAAATAATATTTAGATTTTAGTGTCCTGAGTCCTGATGACTCCTGAGGCTTGAGAGTCTGAGACCTGACGGTCTGAGACCTGAGTCGACTGAGAGGCTGAGAGTCCTCTGACTCCTCTCTCTCTCTCTCTCTCTCTCTCNCTACTCTCTACGTCTACGCTACGAAGTAAAGTTACGTAAACCGTACGGTAACGGGTCTTCTACGTCGTACCCGGTAGGGTCGCGTCGGTCGGGTCCGGGGG